GCTAGGCATCCTCAATGGGCTAATGCCCCGAGATACTTAGACTACCGACAGAGCGAAACCAAACGTCTCGAATTTGTGGGCAGTCGAAGAAAAGGTGACTGGGCGTTTCACAGGTGCAGTGAAAGAATCTACTACTGACCTAACCCTAATTACTGAAATGTAGATAAAAGTGAACGACAACATTCTTCTCTGCTTTATTGAGAGGGGTCGGCCCCTTTATATAATAAACAAGACTTGACCAACAAGCCAATACATCTATTCAAACTCTAACACAATCTCTAAACTAATTGGACTCTTTCCTAACAAAGACGCTTAATCAACTAGGACTCTAATTAAGGGATAAGACTCTATGCTTGATGGGCTGGTCCACATAACATCTCTCCCTTGAAAAACAGCTTGCGGACAAGCTGTATGTTGTCAATTGCCTCCCAGGGGCCCTTGGGTGCTAGCATATGTGGAGCTATCTTGGTCATAGTCATCAACCTTGATGAAGAAAAGCCACGCACATTGGTGACCCCGAACATAAATCTCATCGCAGTTGAAGCAAATGCCTTGGAGATGACGTTCTGCTAACTCAGCTAGAGTGAGGTGCCGAACCTGTCGTGATGGGGTTCGCTTTGGAGTGGATGATGGCAGAACATGTGCTAGTGGCGCCGGCGGGGAAGGTATTGTAGCTATGTTGACCGCAAGAAGATCAGAGGGTAACAAGGGCCCTATTGGACTAGAAGGTTGGTGTGGTGACGTTATTGGTGGGAAATGCTGCTGCTCATAGGCCTTGGAGAGGGAGATGGCAGTTTGGAGGTCACATGGCTGCTGAAGCTCGATGTTAACACGAAGACCATCGGGCAGCCCTAGCTCTGCTGTGTATAGAAACAATTGTCGGGATGGTGTTAACGACTCATTGTTGTGGCACATGAGTGCTAGAAACCTGCTGGTGTAGTCGGCAATTGAGGAAGTGAACAACAGGCGTGCCAATTCGCCCAAAGGATTGGCGCAGAGTGACGGCTAAAATTGAACATGGCAAGCTTCCTTGAACTGCCCCCATGTCGGCAGCCGAAATCGCGCTCAACCTTTAAGTAAAGTGAGCATCATTGGTGAGGTGGTACGTTGCAGTGCAGACCTTGTCAGCGCACCGAGGAAAAACAGCTCGCATCTATGGAGCCAACCAAGAGGATCGACCGAACCGTCGTAAGTCGGGAAGTCGAGCTTGTGCAAGCGAGGCACGCCTGAACCAAAAACTGAGTTGAGGTGATTGTTAGGTGGGGGTTGGGGGGTTGGGAGGGAGGTGATGGGCGGGGTGGATCCATAGATTGGTTGTGTAGGGGCGCGGCCATAGCGGCGTATGAAATCGGTTGCCAGGTGGAGACATGGATGCGGCGATGAAAATCTGTTGCTGCTGCTAATGGTAGGGTTGTTGATGCGGATGGTAGGCTGCTGCTGCTAATGGTTGGGCTGCTGCTGGTAGTGGATGGCAAAATTGGGGTGGGATTTGGGCTGTAGGGTGAGGGTAGGTGGTTGTGGCGAGTAAGGACATGGCTGGAGGTGGAAAAGGGTACTGGCGGCTGATGGTGGTTGGCAGCGAAAGTGAGGGGATGGTGGGGGTGGGCAAACTGCTCGATGGGTGGAGGTCCGGCGGTGGCGGTGACAGTGGTGACCCCCCTGCTAGAAACGGTACACCAAAGGCACCAGCCCGGCGAGGAGCACTTGTCCTTCGCTTGTTGGCTTGCGAAGGCCTCCAATTGCTTTGTGATGATCTTCATTTGCTCCACTATATCAATCTTTGTCCACCATCGTAGATGGATTTCATACCTCAGCACTGATAAAATTTTCAAGATCAACCTCAGCTCCAAGATCTGTTCCATATCCGCCTTCACTAGAATGAGTGTCATCCGCATATTGAGTGACAGGGAAGGAAGGCTGTCCACAAGAGGGCGTCGTAGCCTTTATGGGGATGTATCCCACGCGATCTCCTGAGAGGGGATCAATGATGATCAGTGGTTAGGGGCAGATCCCCTTGCCGAAGGCCATTCTTACATTTGATCCATCTTCCAAGGAAACCATCTAGGAGCACCACCATCTTCCCAGTGGCAAGGATAGAGTGAATCTACCCACACCATCTATCCCCGAAACCGCGTGCTCGGTGGACGGCATCCAACGCAGACCAGCTGACAGAATCAAACACCTTCTTGAAGTCCAATTTAAGAGCAATTGTGGGGGCGATGCGCAAAGTGACAACTTTGGTCAAGATCCATGGCATAGAGAGAGTTGCCAGTGATACACCTCACATTGATGAAACCTGTTTGCTTCAAAGGAACCAGGAGCTCAATGAAATGCTAGAGACGACACACCAAGATCCTAGTTACAACTTTCATGGCGCAGATGGCGGTCCAATAATAGGCTAGGTGTTTAGTCATCTCGTCCTATTTGTGCCGGTTGTGGCAACTTTTACCTTTTTTTAACTTTTTTAGCTCAGACCGAGCTTGTACTAGACGGCAGAACCTTTCGGATACTTGGCTTAATAATAGGGCTGCATGCATCATTCTGATGCAGTGACCGGGGGGTGATCCTCCTTTTCTAAAAAAAATGGCGCAGTTCTAGAGTGAGATAGGTCCGAAGCTGTCCTCCGGGAGCACCGACACAACTTTCGGCAGAAGAGCAATGTAAACTTGGTTGATACCCGCAAGATGTGTACGTCCACGGTAGAATTTCTCAAGGAAGTTCAATTGATCATCTTTCACCAGGTCCCAGAAGAGCTTGAAGAAGCATGGACCAAAGCCGCCCGGGCTTGGGTTGTTGTCTGAGCGCATCCGGAAGACCGTGGACCTGAGCTCCTCCATGCCGAAAGGGCACTTAAGCTCAGGCAGCCCAAGGACACGTGGCAGCACTAACTACAGAGGAACCACCCATGAAGATGAGGTAGTTGTCCCCAATAACTTTGAGAAGAAACCACTGATGATGCCTTCTTTGACAACATGATTAAAGTAGGGACGCCCTGGTCTGGATAACCTGAATCTTGTTACGTCAGAGACGGGCAGTGGTATTTGCGTGGAAAAAGACAGTATGTTGTCACCCAACTTGAACAGTTTGAAGATGTAGAACTGCGGCCAGTATGCATCCAACCTCTTGAGTTCAATGGAAAGCCGTTTTTTAACATTGTGGAGTGACTCTCGGGTGGTGAGCAAGTGAAATTTCTCCACCAGATCAATCACCTCAATGAAAGCCCGACAGTTTGGCGCCAATTCTAGGGGCTGGTAAAGTGCGCAGGACCATCGTTTAGACTCATCCCGGGCCCATTTGAGTGTACGTGACAGACGGCGGGCATGGTAGCTTCCGTGACGTGGTTTTGTGTCTTGGCCCAAACCGCTTGGATCAACAAGTGGTTTTCCTTGGACGCAGCCCACCATCGGTTTAAAACAAAAAACCTGGCCGGCCGGCGTGCGCGAGACCGCTTCAATCACCAAAGGAACAAGATCGTCGGTGGCGCGTGCCGCCGACTGCAGAGTTGAGTTGAAGAGAAGCCAAACCGCTTGGATCAACAAGTGGTATTCCTTGGACGCGGCCCACCATTGTTCAAAACAAAAAACCTAGCTGGCTGGCGTGCGTGAGACCGCTTCAATCACCAAAGGAACATGATCGAGTTGAAGAGAAGGTGACTCCAAGGCAGGTTGATATATATGCAGACGAGGCACACAAAGGTGGGGTCATCTCGACAGTTGGATCAAGTGTACCGCCTGTCGCGAGTGGTAGCTCATGGAGGGTGAGGCCGTCGACCACAAGGTTGAAGGCGGCCGCCGCGGCATAGTCGCACCGGGGTGAGTTCTTGTCGTAGAGGAACCATGAAAGCCTCCACGAAGATCCATGGAAGGGCGCACATGCTTGCAACCACAGGCAGCTCTGCCAGTAAATCCTAGCGAAGCTTAGGAGTGGAAGGGGTATAGATGTTCGTCACGACGGAGGCGGCGTCCGCAGCAAACTCGGAGAAGGACGTGATCGTGTAGGCAAGCACCTCGTCACGGACAAACTCGAAGAAAGCACAAATACTATTGCGTTTTCACTAATATCGTGCATGTACCATGTATTTATTATGCCGTCCTTGTGAGCAATGATGAGATGAAATGGAAATAAGGTCTGTTCGTATATCATGTATAGTAGTCCAGTCCGATATTATGTATTGAATAATAGTCTGCAAGTCTTTATTAGCTTTTGCTGATCTCTGATATAGGCTGTGTACTTTTATTTGTTGCAGGTTGATTTGGTTTCTACTGTACACATTGCTGACAAAGAGTATGTTCTATGGGCCCCTTTTCATGTTTAAACATTAGATTCTGCTGGCATTAACAGCTCTATGAATCGACAAACATGTCTATTACTAACATCGTTTCCTCATCACAAGATCCTTGCACTTATTGTCTGTTGGCACATTCTATAATTGATAGAAGTTGCGAACTAAGTGAACTGTCTAAGACATATTATTTCTGTTCAGATATTTCGATAAACTCCAACAAGCACTTGAAGGCTATGATTGTGTTCTGTATGAAATGGTGATAAGTCGGGATAATTTAAATAACCAGCAGGACCCAACGTTTGCGAAGAAGCTGAGATCTTCGCGCAAAGGTTTCAGTATTCTTGGTTTCATACAGAAACAAATGGCTCGTATCCTTTCATTGGATTACCAGCTAGATTGCCTTGATTACGGCGATGAGAAATGGCAACATGCTGACCTTGACTATGAGACATTCAAGCTGCTTCAGGTAATAAATTTAGTTACACTAGCACAGTGGCCCGCGCACATGCGCTGGCAACACCTTGATCATGAAACATTGACTTTCATTATCATGATTCAAATAGTCATATTGAATATGTGAGACATGTATTTAGTAGATCATAATAGTCCTGCCAGTAAGTTCGACTAAAAACACTTTTTTCACTCTCTCGAAAATGCAAAAGCCTTTGCATTTCACTGCATTGATAGAGAGAAGAATCATTACAAGCCCTATGAAGGACACACCCATGGTACAAAAGCCCTAAGAAGGGTACACCCGAAGTACAACAAGATGCCCCTAGACGCTAGTCGTGCACCCCTCTGGAATCATAGCTGCAAGCTCTCTCGCACCTGCCAAAGTCCACGGCGTAGCCTCCCACTTGATTGTCTAGAAGAGGCGGTCCAAACTGAGCCACGCTTTGTCGAAGATGATGCTCCATAATGCACGAAGCCACAGGCTGGATGATAGAGGAGGAGCCCATCCGAGCCAAGGTTGGAGCCAACTAAAAACACTACGACTTGATTTATCTCGAGAATATATAAAACTAATAATGGAGCTACAAACTAATTTTATTACATTGGGTAAATGAGAAGTCAAAGATACATAAAGCGTTTATTATATTGACAAAACAAATAAATCGAACAACAAATATGTTTTCAACTTAAAATCTAAAGCAGGATGCATGTAATCTGTTCAACCAAAATCTTATATGTATTCCTCCATGCATCATCTAGCGAGTAAGCTGCACATCAGCATAAATATGAATTATCTTAGCCATAGTATCAATTTTGCTTGCTCTTTGTTACTAGAAAGCATATGCTTTGCCTGTTCTACATCAACACAACTAAGTGCATCCTTTCATCCTACATACTGTCATATTTTTCATTATACTGAACTGAGCATATTATGATGATAATCCAAACATCAGTACATTGTTTTCCTGGATAGTTAAAGAGAAATATTTAAATATCAGAAGATCTTGGTCGTGAATTGACTAATTCTTTTTAATATTGTTCATACAATTGCCAAACAACGGATTTTCACCATTTTAGCAATGGTGGAACAAAAGAACCAATGCCTCTAGGGTTCATAAAGCATCAAAGTGTTGAGCATATAAGGGCGCTCTTTCCAATTCAAATGTATTGGGACTTTCTCTCAATTCCTGAACTGCATATGTGAAATTAGACAATTATCTCAACTTCAAGTGTTCATTATATTGACAAATATACCTCAGCAGGGGCACACGTTCGGTAAGCCAAAAGGTCAAATGAAGGTTAGTAGCCCTGGCTCAAGCACTGAATACACACTTATTTCATTGGTAAATAAGCTACCCGGCTGCGTAAAATTAATTAATCTAGTGATGGCATCTATTTTGGTTGCTTCTTGATGCCAGAATATAAGATGCACTATTGCTGCATCAACCTAACTATAGCGCACCCGTTTTCTGTGTGCTGCGTTTTAGACTTTTAGCATGGTGCCGCTGTGTGTAGACTCCAGGCCTAGTTTACTAAGAGGATTGAGAATTTTGAATTGATTTTTGACCGGAACTGGTTGATCTTTTCCCACTTATAAGACGTAAAGCTCATGCTATTGCTTGAAAGAAATAATTCAATTATGTATTTTACCCAACTATGTAATATTACGAAGATACTCCACTAGAACATCACCTGTCCATGCTTCTGCGTGGCTAGCAGTGAGACATAATAAATTAATATTATTACACATATGTATTAATGGAAGACGTTGTGGGAATTATAAATGTGTGGAAAACTTGGGGTCATGTTTTTTGTTTGCTATTATTAAAGGGGTTGTCTATTCATATATTCCAACATTTCTAATCCGTTGAATAAACATTAAGCCATCTTCATCTCCAAGTCGCTCCATATATAACCTACAAACAAAAAATGCAGTAACATATTATATGTTCCCACTGTGTACACTCCGGGCCTAGTTTACCAAGAGGATCGAAAATTTTGAATCGATTTTCGACTAGAACTGGCCGATCTTTTCCCACTTATAATGAAGAGGTAGAGCTCATGTTAGTTGCTCAAGGAAGTAGTTCAATTATATATTTTACTCAATTATGTAATATCACGATGATACACTCAAGAACATCTCCTGTCCGTGCTTCTGCGCTGCTAGTAGGGAGGCATAATAAATAAATATTATTGCACACATGTATTAATGGAAGACACTGTGGGAGTTAGAAATAAGTGGAGAACATAGGGTCATGAGTTCTGTTTGTTATTATCAAAGGGGTTATCTATTCATAAATTTCCACATTTCTAATCTGCTGAATCAACATTAAGGCGTCTTCATCTCCAAATCACTCCATACAAAACCTACAAATAGAAAATGCAGTAACATATCATTAAAGTTTCACACCTTCCAACGGAGCAATCTAGGCTTAGTAGTGAGTAATTTTGGGTGACCAAGATTTAAAGAAGGCAACTGAGCATTAGCAAAAGTGTTATTAAGAACATGTACATTTGCTACTGCAGAAATTACTCATTTGTGCATCTTCACCCTTGCTAACCGTAGGTACGGTAGCTAACTTTGGATTAGATTACCATTAGTTATGTCTCTTATGTCCGATAGTGAATAGTGATTTTCTGTCATAATTAAATTAACACAATGACCTTTCTTGCACCATACCAGTGCTTACAGTTTTAGACCTATCTAGCATCCATAATCATGTTAGCAATCTTCACTTCTTGCGTCATGCCTATTCTTAATAATGTGCATGGTTGTAGGTCACTTCCTTGCCTGCCATGTTTTGATGTTGCATAACCCTTGTATTATTGGATTAAATTTTAGTTAAAGCTTCAATTTGGAAAGTCAAATGATCCTTATATTACTGAACATATTTTAAGAACTAACTCACGTTGGTGGTGTTACTACAAAGTTGAGAACTACTATAATATTGCTCGCTTTGTTCAGAAATATAAAATACATTCACTGTTCGAGTTCAAGCTGTAACTGCAACTTTTTTGCGCTCCGATCCATATTAATTGTCGCTGATTTAGTATGGATTGTAGGGAGTAACATCTTTAATACTCCCTCCGTCCCACAATATACGATCGTTTTTCAAGCTAATATAGCTTGTGGGACGGAGGGAGTAGTTAAGAAATCAGAACCATGAAGTTTTTTTTAATAAAAATTGAATACAAAACCAACTGTTCGTAACATAGTCCACATACTAGTGGATTAATATTAGTCTAGGCTTGAATTTGGATAATCAAATACATATCATTAAGGTAAAATGTATATTGTGATCCGTATTACATAATGCTCCGTTAGGATGTACGTATTGAGAGCCAACAAATTGCATTGGGTCCAATATCAAATTAGCCTTGTTTTGGAAATAGGCCACAATACCAAATCTATTGTTTGGTTGCGAATGGAACTGCTTGTTGGAATCCAACAAAGTAGGCAATGCCAATTTCATGTTTGGATGTTATGTTGATGAACTGACCTAGACACATCCATCCTTCCACCGCCACCCATGACCGGCTCCCTTTGCCTCATTCCTTCCCGCTGGTCTACCACTGTGTGGCATCCCCACTCCAGCCTGGCTGTTGGCGGCCTCTCACTCAGCCCGGTAACCTCCCGGAATACCACCAGATGGTTGGCGTCCACATGCATCAGATGTGCAAGACCAAGAGCGCTATGGCCGCCATGGCGCCATCCATGGCCCGCTCCTCCATCAAGGACTCGCTTCTGGACCTGCCCCTCCTCACCTTTGCCGAGTTCGTCACCGCCAGCGCCAACTTCTCCACTGCGCACTGCCTAGCCCCGTCCTCCAACTCCTTCCTTGCGTGCTCCACGGCCACCTGGCCGTCATCTTCTGCCGCACGCTGCGGCATGACCCGGTCGAGGTCTCACCATGCTCGGCCACTGCCACCAAGCACCCCCGGCGGCTCCCTCTTCCTTCCCTACGAGCTTGTCCCGAGCGTGGCTCTGCCGCGCCAGCAACCCCTCCATCACGCCGCTTGCCTCCTAGCGAGCGCGGCTCCGCCTCGCCGCCATTCCCCGACTCCTTGGCGTTGCTCCACCAAGGGCACGGGATCTGGAGATGCAGGGGCAGTGGTGGCCAGCGGGGGAGGAGAAGCAACTGTGGTAATCGGGGCAAGGGTGTCCTGGTCTCTCCATTAGATGGTAGCTATTGATTTTGGTAGAGTCAGACTTTGATGATCGGACTACAGCGCGCAACAACGTTGCGTCTTAGCAATCTCTAAGCCAATGCCGGAGAATGATCAACCGGACCACGAAGGTCTAATTCCTGCAAGCAATGAGAACAAAGAAGAACCAAGATTTACAATCTGGATGTTGCGAATAAATGATTAATGATGAAAGTTGGGGTTTCATAAGCGGTCTTGGCCTGGTCCTTGGACACAAACGAAGTATGCGAAGTTGCAGCCATGGGTATTTTTTAGCTAAACAAAACCCGAGTCTATGCATTTATAGAGGGAGAGGGCAATTTCGTCCAACCCTTTTTTTTTGGGGGGGGGGGACCCACCTTATCTCGTATTCCTCCACTATCATGGCCAGAACAAACCAAAACCCAGAAGAGCTAAACGGTACCACGCTGCCAACAAGTCAACAGACCAGGACCAAAGTTTATTTGATCAACGCAGCTACACTCAAAAGCACACAAAAAGAGACACCAGCTAAACCACAACAGCCTGTTCACTGGTGATCGTCATCAGCACCGCCATCTTGGACTTCATCATCCTCAGAAGTACGTTTAGCATATAATAGTAGATTTATGTCTTTCCACTGCTTGCAGTTTTCCATGTAAAACTTCTCAAGGGGATAAGTTTCAAGGTGAAATTGTGTTATTACTGTTGGAGGTTGATGGGTGTAGCTTCTTGATTTGCAGATTTGCAGATTTCGTAGCAAACAGCTTCTTAAGCTCATTTGTGCACTGCTCTGTACCTCTTTCTGTCGTGGCCTCCAAAAAATTGTGGACTAAATGTATTCTGCCTTTTATGGTTTTCAGACTGAAAGAGGTGAAAGCTTTCTCACATTTGCAGTGGACATGACCCTGAAATCAACTAAAGCCTTGGTACAACCAACTTCTCCAGATGGTCTTGATTTCTGGAGATCCAAGTTGCTATGGGCCTCGCGTGTTCTACCAATGCCACTTATTGGACTATTTGTTATCACTGGGCTTTGTTTGCCAGTGGATAAGCAAGATGGATATCCCGAGCTGGAAGCATTATCCAAACTAGATTTAGGAGCTGCTCTTAAGATTTTTCTGGCTAAGCAATTGACCTCCGAGTGAGTACATTCAAACCAGTAGTGATAGTTATGGTTCTTTATTTACAAATTCTTCTTTTTCTCGTATGCAGTTTCAATGCTATGACTGCACCTGCTGAGGATAAGTCAGTTATAATTGGGGAAAGGAACAGAGTTGCAACTGAGAAGATAAAGGGCGCGATAAACCGAGGGTACAAGAGAATAGCAGTTCTGTACGGAGGTGGGCATATGCCAGACCTTGGAAGACGTCTTCGAGAAGAGCTAAATATGGTCCCATCCAATGTGCAATGGGTCACAGCATGGTCAATAAGAAGCCGGGAGCTAGATAAAAAATCGCTTCCATTTTTGAAGACGATGGCTGAGGTTTCAGGGTGGCCTTTGAATAGATATGAAACACTTGCTTTGCTAATCTTTTCTTCAGTTCTTGCAGTGGATCTATGGTTTTGGGAGTTTCTCGTGGAAAGCAGTCTGAATTGGGCATCTTTGGCTGGTTCCTGGATTGATCAATGTAGTGCTCCATTTTGACAAAGAGTTTGTCTGAAAAAGGTGGGGAAATGAAGTTTAACAACACAGAAGTGTATAAGCGACGGTCCAAATAAAAAAACAAAACCATTTACTGTTGCAGCTTGTTAAAAACGTTCTTATATTATGGGACGGAGGGAGTAGATAACAATTTATTGAATCAACTTGGAATGAGATTAGAAAAGTTGAAGCCAGTGGGTGTTAGGCCGTGCTTAGTTGGACTTCTGCAGCCATTTTTTCTTCTTGCGTTTCAATACTAGTATAAGCTAACCAAAGGGAGAATGAGGGCTGTGCAATCGGGCGCACACCCACGTTCCGCACCTGGGCCACACAACAGGTTCGAACCGTCCACACAACAGGTTCCACACGATAGTTCAACCGCGCTAATCACCATGGACAGCGTCCATTTTGTGATCGGTAGCATCTTTTATTGTTCTTCAATTAACTGACGTGATTCTGTTTTTTTTTCTTTTTGGCCGGTTTTCTTCTGTTTTTTTCTTTTTCGATTTCGCAAACTTTTTTCAGAGTTCACGAACATTTTTTTTGTGAACCTTTTCTCAAATCCGATGAACCTTTTTTTGAAAATCGATGAACTCTTTCAAAATTCGGTGAACTTTTTCTGAAATCGATCAACTTTTTTCCATATTGATGAACTTTTTTTGTGAACCTTTTTTGAATTTGTGAACTTTTTTCACAATCGATGAACTTTTTTCAAATCCGATGAACTTTTTTCAGAATCAATGAGCTTTTTAAAATTTTGATGAACTTATTCAAATTCAATGAACTTTGTTTTTGAATTTAATGAACTTTTTTTTTTCAAATTTAGTGAACTTATTCTTTAAATTTGATGAACTTTTCAAATTTAATGAACTTTTTTCAAATTCGATGAACTATTTTCAAATGCGATGAACTATTTTCAAAATCGATGATCTTTTTTTTTTCAGTTTGTGAACTTTTTTCTATACGGATGAACTTTTTTCCAAATATATGAACTTTTTTTAATTCATGGATTTTCTTTATTTTATGAGTTCTTTTTGGAATTTACATTAAAAAAAATCTATACAGTGTATATAATATATGTTATGTGCAGTATTGAAAGGGTTAAATAGTACAGATTCCTAGTAATGGACAAGAAGTTGTGTCTGGTCTACTGGCTACCACCGCGGAGTATTATTCTATGGGTGCCGGGTTCGATTCCTTGTGCGCACATAATTTTTTTTCGGGTTTGTTTTTCTAGGTAGGGTTAATTTTTTTTTTTGAAGGGGAAAGCCAAATTTTCTTCATCATAGTCCACATGGGGAGGGATATAATTCAGATCATGGGCTGACCTAACCATAGGTGTTGCCCCGGACCGAGACTAAGCGAATATTTGGCTAATCTATGTGCTTCGACATTGACAACACAACCTTCGAAAGAAAATTTACATTGAAATAAAGTTGCTCTAAAATTGATTTCCTGAACAATAGAACCACTCTTGCCTCTTCCGATGCATAAAATATCAGCCACTGTTTGCTTGGAATCGGAAGCCACAACAAAATTGTGCAGGTTTAGATCTTCAGCAAGTGCCAATGCCTCTCTGCAAGCTATAGTCTCAAGTATTGCTGGGTCCTCTAGGCCAGGAACTACCAAGGCTGAGCTGCCTAGGAAATTGCCCTGCTTGTCACAGCATACCGCTGCTGCTGACCCACCTTTCCTTGATCTAACTCCTGCATCAACATGAATCTTGGCTTAGCCAACAGGAGGAGGCTTTGGACGCACTGCTCGTGTCACCTGTTGGACTGTGGGAGGAACACCTTCCCTAGAACCTTCCACGTTGATCATGTTTAGTTCAGCAATGAAACGTCGGACAAACGTGTTAGTTGCTTGAGGTGATTGGAAGATTCCTTCATGAATAGCCTTGTGGTGCGCTGTCCAGATCGCCCAAAGTGTAACCGCAAGCAAGACAAACCGATCATGTGTGAGCGATTGCATGAAAGTGAAGAGCCATTGTTTGGCGTTGGGTTCTGTAGTTGAGACCAGATTTTGTGCTATCTCCTCATCCACTAATACCCACACACATCTCGAGCTGGTGCAGTTAACCAGAGAATGCCTCCACGAATCAGGAGAGCCACACAAGCCGCATTGCGCGTTATCTGCCATGTGTCAATGAGCCCTGATGTCCTCTGTTGGAAGAGATTGTTTAGATAAACGCCAAAGGAACATTCTAACCTTTGCTAGAACCTGGGTCTTCCACAAAGTTTTCCATGCTCCCTCTTCAGATGCAATGTTTGACGTTCCTGCCGTTCCCTCAAGCCATGTCTCCTAGCGATTTCTTGTCAGTACAAGCATGCGATAAGCTGATTTAACAGAAAAGATCCCACTTGTTTCAAAGTTCCAGCTCCAGAAGTCCTGGACATTGCGAGTACACAATGGGATTCCCATAATAGTACAAGCATCCATGGGCATAAACACTTGGTTGATTCGCTGGACGTCCCATGACGCACTTGTGTGGTTAATGAGTTTAGACACCACATTGGGTGGGTTAGGGTGAATACACTCATACGGTCGTAGCATCTCGTCTCTTGGCAACCATGGATCCTCCCAAATTCGTGTAGTCTGGCCGTTGCCAATTCTACGAATCAGCCCCTGTTTAAGTGTGTCTTTGCCTTCAATAATAGCTCGTCATATTTGACTGGGATGGTTGCCCAATGTCGCCTCCAATATAGTAGAGTCAGGGAAATATATACTCTTCAATAAACGAGCACTGAGGGAATCTGGTGTTTGGAGTAAACTCCAAGCCTGCCGTGCCAGCATCGCCATATTGAACAGTCCAAAATCTTTGAATCCTAGTCCACCCATTCCTTTCGGTTGCGTCATACTTCTCCAAGATACCCAATGAGGCTTCCTCTGACCTTCTTTGCTTCCCCACCAAAACTTCCTAATAAGCATATTGAGATGTTCACATAAACCCCTTGGGAGTTTGAAGCACGACATGGAGAACACCGGGATGGCATGGGCAACTGATTTAACTAGCACCTCCTTGCCTGCCGATGACATGGTGTTTTCCACCCATCCCTGCACCTTACTCCAGAGACGATCTTTCAAGTACTTAAAGGCGCCATTCTTAGAACTTCCAATATCAGATGGCATACCTAAATACTTCTCATTTAAAGTTTCATTAGGGATATTGAGTAAAACTTTAATTTCCGTCCTAACCACATCTGGTACTCCTTTAAAGATAAATGATTTTGCAAAGTTCACTCGCTGGCCTGAAGCTTGGCAATATGTATTCATCACTAGGTTCACCTCATTAGCTCCCGCATATTTGCCTTGCAGAACAGCAGGCTGTCATCAACGAATAACAGATGGCTAACTGGTGGCGCCGTAGGAGCCACTTGTACACCACCCAGGTTGGATGACTCACTTTTTGATTTTAACAGGCACGACAGGCCCTGCTAGCAAGAACAAGTACGGGGATATTGGGTCCCCTTGTCTGATTCCTCTTGAAGGTTCAAATTCCTCCAATCTCTTCCCATTGAACATGACAGAAAACTTGACAGTGGTAACAAGTCCCATAACAATATCCACCCATCTCTCAGTAAATCCAAGTTTGACCATGATTGCTCTCAGATATGGCCACTCCACCCTACCATAGTCCTTCATCATGTCTAGCTTCAACGCAAATGACTGGTGTTTCTTAGCTTTATTTCTCTTCATGAAGTGTAGGCATTCGTACGCAGTGATGATGTTGTCCGTGATAAGTCTTCCAGGGACAAAGGCTGACTGTTCCTCACATATTATGTCAGGTAATATCACTTTCAAACAGTTAGAGATCACCTTGGACGCAATTTTGTAGAGAACATTGCATAAACTGATAGGACGGAACTGGAACAACAGGGTGGGATTTTTTACCTTCGGAATCAATACCAGTACCGTCTCATTGATGCATGCTGCTGATTCTGCTCCCTCAACAATTTTAAGCACTACTCTGGTAATTTCATCTCCACATGTCTCCCAATGACGCTGAAAGAAGTGAGCGGGGAACCCGTCCGGTCCAGGGGCCTTAGTTGGGAACATTTGAAAAAGGCCGATCTTCACTTCCTCTAGTATATGGTAGGTTGAGCGATGCATTCATATCTTGCGTAACCTTGCATGGCACTTTTTCTAGGACCTGCTCCATGTGCACCACGGTCGCCAATGAGGGGTCACGCTCCCAGCAGAGCTCGTATTTGAAAGGGCGTGGTCCCCACCTGCATGCATGCACTCCTTGCAGCCGAAGCAACAGCGGGACGTGGTCCGAAGTAGCAGCTGTGAGGTGTTCAAGTGTTGCATCTGGGAAAGCCAAGATCCATGCAGGTAGCCACACTTTGGTCCAGCCATACCCTGGTGTATGTGCCCCCACCAACTTCTTCTCAAATGTCCAGCTTTGTCCCTGATAACCAATGTCAGATAATCCACAAGTATCAATAGCACCCCGGAAGGCGTCCATCTGCGCTTGGCTACGCTGGTCGACCCCATCATGCTCATGGCTATGGAGGACTTCGTTGTAGTCTCCAATCACCACCCATGGATCATTGCTCGTTCCTGCAATTCCGCGCAACATATCCCAAGTTTTGTATCTCTCGTTTGTTTGAGCCTCCCCATACACAAAGGTGATTCTGGTTTTAATCTCTATCATCTACTCAACAAACATCTATATGGTATTCAGAATAACCAATAACTTCGAGCTTTATTTCTTCATTCCAAAAAATGCCTAGTCCACCGCTCCTACCGGAGCTGCTTACAGCAAAGCTTTTATTGTAACCTAGAGTTCATACAAGACTCTCAACACACGATCCCTCTATCCGAGTTTCAAGAATGCATACAATAGAGGGGGCAAGTTGCTTCAATAGTTCTCGAAGCTCGCGAACCATCGCAGGTCTGCCAGTCCCGCGACAGTTCCAGACTAGGCAACTCATTGCGCTTAGCGTTACCCATTGATAGGGCCCGTCATTTGCGCATTGTTTTGAGAGTTTGCAGATTTG